AGAAATGCTCAAGAGATGTGGGCCATTGTTGAGAACCACATACAACAAGAATGCACACTCAAGAGGTCCCAAGAATCCTTCGCTTCGGCAGGACCAAAGGATAAGCCAAGAATCCCCCAGGAAAACAAACCGGCACTGCCCAAGATGGATAGGCAATTAACACCCTTAACCAAGCTCCGACGAGAAATCTTTCTGATTCATAGGGACGAGTTACCAGCTCCGAAACCCTTGACACCTAACCCAAACAGATCAACTGAACAATATTGTGAGTATCACAAAGATCACGGCCATGACACAGAGGATTGTCGAGAGCTTAAGCGGGAAATCGAGAATGGGGTCAAGTCTGGGAAGTTTCAGCAATATGTGCAAGTAACAGCCTCCCGGCAGAAGAATAACAGACCCCAGTCATGAGATCACCCTAAAAGAAACTTCAGAGGCCCACCACGGCGAGATGGACGAGGAAATAATTGGCAACTGAGAGCTAATGTCCAACAACAACACTATCCCATCACTGAAGCAGCACTACAACCACTCCAACAACTCCCTCTGGCGGACCCTACGAAGCTAATCACTCACCTGGTGGGAGCTATTTACGGAGCTCCCCTCGAAGTCTTATCCACTACAGCCATGAAGAACTCATTGCGAACCGTCACCAAAACTTCTCGACAAGAGCCTAGCCACAAAAGGTTCAAAGGAACGGAGGCCATCGTATTCACAGATAGCGACGTGGTCCCAGACATTTGTCCCCACAGTGACGCTATGGTCATAGAAGCGATAATCGCAAACGTAAAAGTCGGAAGGGTTTACGTGGATAACGGCAGCGCGGTCGACATCATATATAGTGATTGCTTCAAGAAAATGAATATCAAGAACCCTTGTATCCGCCCAGCTACAATGCCTCTTATGGGATTCTCGGGCCATACTATTATCCCCACAGAAATAATTAGCCTACCCATCTCGGTAGGGTCGCATCTTAGGACGGTCACCTTAACCATGGACTTCGCCCTAATAGATGCGCCCTCGCCGTTCAACGTGATCCTAGGGCGACCCTGGATGTGCCAAGCACGCGCAATATGGTCTCCCTATCACTTGGTAATGAAATTCCCAACGGAATATGGAGTGGGAGTAGTGAAAGGATGCCAGCGGAGCTCTCGAGAGTGCTTACTCAAAGCAGTTAGAATCGGAAAGAAGATCGCACACCTTAACCCGGCTCCGCCGTGTCAGAATGCAATTCAATTCGACAAACGGTCAACCCATCGGAGGTGAAAAACCCCGAGATCTCCAGCCTTCCCTCGTTGAGCAGCAAGACGCGAGAGTTGCTCCTGAGTGAGACTGATCCCACCAAGACCATTCAAATTGGCGTTTTTCTCCAAGACCCCTTGCTTACCGAGATCAGCGCCTTGCTACGCGAGTTCCGCGATATATTCGCCTGGTCCCCAGCGGATATGATAGGAGTCCCTCGAGATGTCATGGAACATAAGCTAAATGTTGATCCAAATGTCAAACCAGTGCAACAGAAGAAAAGAGTATTTGCTCGCGAACGTAATGATGTCATCAATGAGGAACAATGAAGCTAGTCTGTGCCAACATACTCCGAGAAGTTCTATGGCCTACTTGGTTAGCCAACCCGGTCTTAGTACGAAAACCTGACAACTCTTGGTGTATGTGCCAGGACTACACCGACCTCAACAAACATTGCCCCAAGGACTGCTATTCTCTACTAGTCATAGATCAGATGGTGGAAGGCATTGCCGGATACAGAGTCCTCAGCTTCCTCGATGCATACAAGGGATATCATCAAATCCTCATGGCACAGGAAGATGCAGAAAAGACAGCTTACATCACCGAGATAGGGGTATATTGCTACGACAAGATGCCCTTTGGCCTGAAAAACGCCGGAGCCACGTACCAGCGTCTCGTAAACAGAACTTTTCATGACCAAATCGGCCGCAACATCGAGATTTACGTGGACGACATGGTGATAAAGACCAATAAGGATAAGCAAGTGGCCGCAGATATGCGGGAGATCTTCACAATATTACGCAAAATAAACATGAAGCTGAATCATAAAAAATGCACCTTCTGTGTAGGGTCAGGAAAGTTCCTAGGATACCAAGTCTCCAAGGATGGAACAAGTGTCGATCCAGCTAAAATAGAGGCCATCTTAGCCATGGAAGCTCCAAAAACAGTCAAAGAAGTTCAAAAACTCACAGGCTCCTTGGCAGCCTTGAACAGGTTTTTGTCTCGAGCCGCGGAGAGAAGCCTTCCATTTTTCCATACCCTCCGCAAGGGCAGAAAATTCGAGTGGAATGTAGAATGCCAGAAGGCCTTCCAGGACCTGAAGGAGCACCTCAAGCAGTTGCCCACACTAGCCAAGCCTGAGCCAGGAGAAACCCTATACATTTACCTGGCGGCTCGAGAGAGAGCCATCTCAGTCGTGCTCGTGCAGCGCAAAGACGGCAGAGAAGTCCCCGTCTATTTTGTTAGCAAAGTCTTGCAAGGAGCGGAAACCCGTTATACGCCCATGGAAAGGCTTATCCTCAGCTTAGTCTTAGCCGCCCGACGTCTGCGCCCATACTTTCAAGTACATCCCATCATGGTTTTAATGGAACAACTAATTCAGCAAGTCCTACTCAAGCCAGAAGCGTCTGACAGGATGATGAAATGGGCAGTCGAATTGGGTGAGCACCACATTGAATACAAGCCTCGATTAGCCATCAAGGGACAAGCCTTTGCAGATTTCCTAGTAGAAAAGCCTCGAGCTATCGATGTCAAGGAAACGACGGAGCCTCAAAATGATCCTACTAGCGTCAACATCAACCCTCGAGCCTGGTCACTGTACGTCGACGGCTCTCGTTGCGATGAAGGGGGAGGAGCCAGCATCATCTTATCCAAACCTCCAGCTGACCCTGACATCGAGAACATGAGGGAATACGACGCAGAATACACATACGCACTAAGGTTCGGTTTCTTAGTCACCAACAATGTAGCAGAATACGAGGCACTAATAGTAGGACTGAACATGGTACTAAAGCTCGGGGTCCGCAAAATTCAGGTTTTTAGTGATTCTCAGGTGGTGGTGAAACAAATATTGGGAGAATATACAGCAAATGACGAGCAACTCAAGCGCTATCTCAAGAAAGTCCTCGACATTAAGGATAAGTTTGAAGAATGCACCGTGTATCACATAGCCCGCTCAAAAAATAAAAGGGCCGATGCCCTCAGCAAGCTAGCCTCCTCGAATTTTGCACACCTCAGCCACAAAGTATGGGTCGAGGTTCTCCCCAACCCTAGCATCCAGGATGCCCCTGTAACGGCCATCGCCGAGGACAGCGACACTTGGATGACCCCGTTCATCCAATACCTTACAGATGGAACGTTGCCCAGCGGAAAAGCAGAAGCCAGAACCCTCTGATTGAAAGCGATCAAATACACATTGCGAGACGGCATACTATACAAGCATGGATACCTCCTACCCATGCTAAGGTGTATTGGCCCAAAGCAAGCAGCTTACATACTCGAAGAAGTATATGAGGGATCGTGTGGAGCTCACATGGGAGCAAGAGCACTCGCCAAGAAGGTCTTGCGAGCAGGATATTTCTGGCCGACAGTTTTCAAAGACGACTACCAGTGGGTACAAAAATGCGAGAAGTGTCAACGTTTCTCTCCCATCACCCGACAGCCACAGCACGAGATGGTCACCATCCAAAGCCCTTGGCCATTCTAACAATGGGGCACTAACATCATAGGCCCCTTTCATCCGGAGGGGGTAGGAGGAGTAAGATGGGTCATTGCAGCTGTGGATTACTTCACTAAGTGGGTAGAAGCCAAACTCCTGGCCTCGATCACAGGGAGGAAAGTCTTGGATTTTTTCTGGCAGAACATAGTATGCCATTTTGGAATCCCGAAGGTTATCGTCTCCGACAATGGGACCCAGTTTGAGAGCAATACCTTCAAATCATGGTGCGACGAAATGCAAATCGAGCGCCACTTCTCAAGCGTAGCTAATCCCCAAGCTAATGGGCAAGCCGAATCCATCAACAGAACAATATTACATGGGATCAAGACCAAGTTGAATGACGCCAAGGGGGCATGGGCTGACGAGCTTCCCCACGTCCTGTGGTCATACTGTACAACCGCCCACTCCTCGACCGACGAGACACCATATAGCTTAGTCTACGGAATGGATGCCGTCCTCCCAGTCGAAATAGGCTTGTCAAGTCCTCGAACCATAAACTTTGTCGGGAGTACCAATGATGATGACATCCAGTTAAACCTTGACCTGCTCAAAGAACGTCGAGACGCTGTCAGAATTCGAGAAGCAAAGTATAAAGAGATTCTGCGCAGACATTACAACAAGAAGGTGAAAGCCATGGATCTCGCTGTGGGCGACCTCGTACTAAGGAAAAACGAGGCTTATCGAGCAGAAACTCCTGGAAAACTCACTGTAAATTGGGAAGGGCCTTACAAGGTTATCTAGGCTTCCCCAGTAGGCAGCTACCGCCTACAGGCCATGGATGATAGCGGAACTATTCTTCCTCGATAGTGGAACATTCAGAATTTTCGGCAGGTTCTATGTTTGAGTCCTTGTCCGCTATTTTCCTATTATGTGTTTTATTTGCTTTATTTACCCAGTCATTTTTATACTCTCACATGTAATGCTAACCCGGGTCCTCGGGAAATTATTCAATAAAAGACATTACATATTCTTTTCATTAATAGCAATACATTCATGACTAGTCATCGAGATGGACTCGCTTTTTAGGGCCATCCTCGTTCAAGAGTCGTGTACTCAACATCCGGACACAAACTCGGGGAATTTTCCCCACACACACTGCCAAACGCAGTGTCAGGTCAAGGAATTCGTACCCAATTCCTATGATAGAGCCGTGTACTTTACATCCGGCCTAAAAAGCACTTTATAAATCAATACTCGAGTAAAATAAACAATAAGACGTTCCACACTACTGTGCAAACTCGCAGAAAGTACATACATTCTCCTACACTATTACAAGGACCTCCCTGACAGGATTGTCGGAGGAGGGATGAATAATCCCCTTATACCCATGTAGACTAAGGAGATTCACACATTGATTCAATTTATCCTTAAGGTCCACGATCTCTATGTCCTGAGCGTGCACCCTCATTAACAGCTCTTCTCGAGAACTCCGAGTTCGAGGATCCACGGTTTCCTCCGGACGCTCGAAAACCTCGAAGTCAATGTTGTTATCCAACAGTAGATTTTGCAGTTGGGCAATATAATCTGTAAGAAGCTTGATCTCACGAGATCTCTCTTTCAGTATATCCATGGCTGCAATAAAATGGCGAGTCCTGACCATAATCATGTGCTGGACTCGAGCTAACACTTGGTGCTTCTCGAGAAACCAGGGAGACACAGTGATTTGCTGCCTTGCCCTAAGCCGAGCGTTTTCTTTCTCCAGGTTAACCAGCTCATCGTGAATCTCGGCCTCGAAAGTCAAAGAATCACTGTGGTCTTTCAGACTTTGAACATCTCGACGCTGCATCTCCTCGCGGAGTCTCGTTTATCAGATGTTGGTTAACCTTTACATTGTGCGTCCTCATTGCATCGAGTAGGTCATTCTCTAAATGTGCCACCGTCTCGAGGCTGTGCACATCAACACGACTTCTCAGAATCCCGCTAATCATAGAATATAACGAGAACCCCCTCGATTGCTCCTCCGACAACACCATGAGGTGAACACGGTGAACGGTCCAACTTTCCTGTTTTACTAGAGGAATATAAGACACTTACATCAAACCAAAGAGAAAGAAAATAGAGGACAAAGAAATAGAAGGGGAAAAGATGCTCGCGTAAATTCGTGAAAAGACGAAACAAAGAAATTAGTCCATTACAAAGAAAAGAAACAGTTTAAATGGCCTAGCAACTATTACAAAGGGCAGGATTCATACAGCATCACTGCCTGGAGGGGGGTCCTTGGAAGGGTCTTGGGAGGCGTCTTCGACAGTTTTTTGGACACCTGAATGGCCGGTTTCAGCAACGTCCTCCTCGGTGTCGTCGTCAGTGTCCTCGAGCTCGATACCATGTACTCATCGGGTACATCAGGTATGAGGTCCTCCTCGCTTGGACCCTTGGCCAGGATAGCAGGGACGTCGCCTGGGAATGAAGCAATCTCCACCGGAGAACTCATCTTTGCCATGGCGCCAGTCAAAGCCTCCCACAGAGTTAGCTGCTCAAGGTTCAGCTTTGTCAGGACCTTCACCATGGCCTCGTGCATGGTTTTCTTCGGGTCCTTCATCAGGAGCTGTTTGAACCATTTAGCTTTAATCGGCCTATCTTGGTCGAGCCTTTTCAACCCCGCCACGCCAACCCGGTGCGCCTCGCACTTGGTAGCAACCAAGTTCATCTCCTCGAGTGCTGTAGCCATTCCTCCTGTCGACAGCATCTTATACATGAATGCAATGCACCACTGATGCAGTTCCTCTTTCGAGATGTGCAAGCTAGCGAATGACTTCATCTTCTCATCCAGCTCATCATATTTAGCCTGCACCATGGCAATCTCAGCCTCCTTAGCCTGAACTTGGTGGGCCTTCTCCTCGAGAGTCACCACCTCAAACAACGCCTCATCCCTTTCCGCTCGAGCTGTTGCCAGGTCCTCTCGAAGTTTCCTCAACTGCACTAGGTAGGCCATCGAGGTCGCACTTATCTGCATCAACATAGCATATCAGGAACACATTGATATGCATATGCATTTACAACCTAATCTGGAAAATGACTTACCAGTCTCAGGCTGTTGGCTTCATTCAGCTGAGCAGCTAATTCCTCAAGGATCAGACACTTGATTGACGGTGGGTTGCTAAAGGTGTGAACTGCCACAGACGGGCCTCCCTCGAACAGCTGAGGGGGCAAGACTATTGCCTCTCCCTCGAGGGGGTCTTTCCCTTTCTCTACCACGGGGGGAACAATGCTTGGCCCTGCTTCTAGCATAGGTTCCTGAACAAACTCAGTGGCAAGGGGCACCGTCTCGATACCCGGCTGTGTGGTTTCCTTCAAGGACGCATCCGTTTTAGCTTTCTTGGATTTCGCCCTATCGCCTACCTTTACGATCCTCTTCTTCTTTTTCTTCTGAGGTGTAGCAGTGACAGTAATGTCCTCATATGAATTCACAATGACAAAAGGATCTTTGTCACCAAACAATTGAGACCCAGCATTGCTCGACGACATGACCTAACAACAAAAAGAAAAAAAAGAAAATGATTAGTACCTTGATTTTCTTCAACAGAAGTTTCGAGAGGAATTCTGGTTGCTCCCTCGACGTTGACCGTATCACTTTCCTTCGCATATACAGGAGGCACATAATATTGTACGTCGTTCCATTTAACAACCTAGGAATATTTCAGAATTTTCTCCACATATGCCTAGAGCTCCTCGACGCACTCTTCATCCTCTTGGGTCCATTCATCCTTTATGGCCCCGAGACCCTCCGTCTCTCGGAGATTCCATGGCAAGCAATAACTCGAGGGCGCCTTTACAAACAAAAAGTCCTGTTTCCATTTCGGGGAGCCGCCATACGCCTCGACCATCTTCCTCACGCCGGCTCTCAGACGCCTTTTCACGATATACCAGTCCTAGAAAGAGGTCGAGGCCACAACTACTTGGAAGAAATACCTCCACAACACTAATCGAGGTATTACTTTTACATGTTGGCATACTATTGCAAACCCAAGTACAAATGTAATTAAATTTGGGATAAAACGAGCAAGAGGAGTCCTACATGTTGCACAATCTCCTCAAACAGGGGATAGAGGGGGAATCGAAGTCCTAGATGCATGAATCGGTCATGTACAGTAATTCTTCCCCCTGGAGGAGAGTTAGCCCTCTCGTTTCCTAATGGGGCTCTCCCCTCTAGGGCTGAAGGGATGTCATATTTGGATCTAAGTTTCTCTACCTTATCAACTGAATCTATGGTGGAAACAAAGTCCAAGACAGTTTTTCCTTCGGAGTCCCTAACCATAATTCCGGCAAGAATCTACTCTGCCTACAATTGGAAAAGACAAAAACTTGGAACAAACCGGAGATTCAGATCTGGAAACTTACTATGGAAAGAGGACGTGACCACTCACCTTTCAAATTATAACTTCCCAGCGTTCTTCAAAAACTCCAACTGGCAACTCCCCCAGGAGCAGCGTTGCTGGGGCAGTGTCTCAGGCAAAAGCTTGAAAATTCCGGTTGGGAAAGGGGTTTAGAATGCTCCGGTAAAGAAGAATTCTTTGAGGTATGGAATGCTTTAACAGAGGAGAGATGGAATGCTTTAACAGAGGAGGGGATTTCGAGTTATTTGCAAAGAAGTAAAATGATTAAGTGTAAAGGGACGGTAGAACTTTCTCCTTAAAAATAAAATTTATTCTCCCATGTTTCCTTAATTATGGACTACGATATGACAGTTATTGCGGATTTCAAGGAAGTAATGATGTTGAGGCTGCCGTTTGAGGAACGTGCCCACTAATAACGCGAAGTTGAAAATTTGGGCGGGATTGGGAAGCGGGTCATCTTCCCGGGTCAAGAACTGACCCGCCAGTTACTCTCGGTTTTTCGAGATCGAGGGTTGAGCGATCGCATCGAGGTCGTTTGACATGTGGCTCGATAATTAGCCGAACGAGGGTACTCTGTCCATTTTCGGGTATGTCCCAGGTAATACTTATTTTGTGCCAAGGGTTGTTTACCTTTACGTCACTAACGCTTGGCAGGGGCACTTGACGAGTCCGTATCCATCACCGAGACTGGACCGGCCCACCAACTGTAGGAAGAGTCCAACCGGGACTCTTAGGGCGGTGGAGATTCCTGAAACCTAGTGGGATTTGGGGATTGCCCAGGTAATCTCATACCCATAAATAGGGTAGCTCATACCATGGTACATGTACGCAATCTATAGCTCAATAAACTACATACCTAAGCTTACCAGCAATCTTTTTTACTGACTTAAGCATAGGAGTGTCTACCCTCGGGGGACCCCGAGGCCCTGTTTTGCAGGAAACCCTAGCCGGAGTTCCACCATTAAACCGGCAGCGTGTATCCAAACATTGTCACTAGCGCAAGGTGATTCCGCAGGGCATGAAGAGGCTTGTGAACGGATGCTAAGTAGTGTACTTACCATAATTACGAATGAGGTCAATGTTGGATTAATTAAATCGGTTTCAATGGAAGAAGTTAAAAAGGCAGTGTTTAGCTTAGATCAAAATAGTGCTCCGGGAGCGGACGGATTTGGAGGTAATTTTTATAGGCAATGCTGGGAAATTATCAAAAATGACTTGTTGGCGGCATGTGTAGAATTTATGGCGGGAGTTCCTCTCCCTAAAACAATAGGAAGTACTCTAATTGCGTTGATTCCGAAGAAAAGCTCAGTTAAGACCATTGCGGATTTTCATCCCATAAGCCTTTGTTCATTTATAAACAAAGTCTTCACCAAGATTCTTACAGAAAGGTTAAAAGAAGTACCGTCAAGTTTAATATCGGAGGAACAATCAGTTTTCATCTCCGGCCAGGATATCACCAATAATGTAATCCTTACACAAGACCTCAATCAATTTCTTGATCAAGAAACAAGGGGAGGAAATTCGATTCTAAAAGTTGACATGGTGAAGGCATTTGACCGAGTTTCTTGGAGCTTTTTGCGGAAAATTCTGAGCAAGTTTGGATTGCATAGACATTTTGTCTCTTTAATAATGAATAACTTCGCTGGGAGTTAGTTTTCGGTACATATCAACGGAGGTTTGACGGAATTTCTTCAGACAACAAGAGGACTCAAGCAGGGTGATCCTCTTGCTCCTTTTCTCTTTATCCTAGTTTATGAGATTTTAACAAGAAGATTGAAGACTTTTGTGGATTGTGGAAGAATAGCTCCGTACCATGTTCTGGCTGAATCTTTAGTACCATTGCATCTTTGTTTTGCGGACGATTTAATTATTTTTACTAAGGGGCTGAAGAAATCTATGGACACTTTGAATATTTTCTTTCAAGAGTATGAAGAAGCATCCGGCCAAAAAATGAACAAACAGAAAAGTTTCTTCTTTACGTCGGAAAAAACTTCACAAGTGCATATGGACATGATAAGTAGAGTACTTCAAATGCCTAAGGGGAGCCTTGCCTTTGCATCTCTTGGCTTTCAACTCTTCAAAGGGAGGAAGAAATCGACTTATTTTCAGCATATTTTAAATTCCTTTGATGCTCGCCTTTTGAATTGGAAGAACAAGATGCTTTAGGTGGAAGATTCTATAGCTGCGATGGAACCTCCGAAGGAAATTATCCAAGTGTTAGAAAGGAAATCCCAACGATTTCTGTAGGGGGAGTGACAGAATTTGGTGAAAAACGTCATTGGAGAGCATGGAATCAACTCACGTTCCCAACAGCAGAAAATGGACGTGGTTTTCGAAAGCTTCAAGATAATGTGGAAGCATTCTCAGTCAAATTATGGTGGGAGTGGAAAAATAAGCAAGGCATCTGGGCGAATTTCATTCATTCACTCTCAGATACAACGAGAAAAAGAATAAGCAGGTCAAGAATTTTAAAAGTTGATGTTTTTGTGAGCAGGAGAACCAAAGTAATTTTGGCCAATGGGAATGCTTCTTTTTGGTTTGATGGGTGACTGGAATCGGGACAACTTTGGGCAACACACTGGTTGAGCAAGCCACCTTATGAAAATCTCAAGGTTAAGGATTTTTTTGATAGAAAAGAATTTTATTTAACTAACCTAAGTGATTTTTTGCAGCCGCAGGTCAAGCAAAGCTTAGAAAATATTCAAATGCAATTCGCAGATGAAGAGGATAGACGAATTTAGAAGCCATCCATAGTCGGGAATTTTGAACTCTCAATAGCATACAGGGAGATTCGGGAGACACACAATGAAGTCCCTCTTGTTAAAAATTTTTGGAACAAATTTATTCCCAAATCTCTTTTTTCTTCTTGAAACTATACAATAAATTGATTCCATTTCCTGAGGTTCTACAGATAATTGGATTCAATTCCCAGCCTTCTCGGTGTCTCTTATGTCTAGAAGATGAAGAAAGCATTGATCATGTCTTCTTGGAGTGTCAACAAAGACGACAAGTACGGTTTTATTTTTCATCATTATTTGGGTTGCTGACGCCATCTTATCCAGGTCTATAGAGTTTTTTGCATTCTTTGTTTGTTGCTGGGAGCTATCAATAAGCATAAAAGGCGGCAATACAAATGCTTCCAGCTTTCATCCTTTGGGAAATTTGAAAAAGTCGCAATAGGTGCATAATGGAGGGAGCGGTATTTTCTTCTGTTTTTGTAATTCATGAAGTAAAATCTAGTATATCAAATGCTCTGTGTATTCTTGAATTATATCCAAAAACTGAGTTTGTAATGCCCCGGAAGCAGGCTCCTCCTGTTGTCAGTGAAGAAGCTGTGCTCGGGCGTCGGCCTGGCTCTCGTCAGGACTCAATAACAGTCGTTCGGTATTCACGAGCAAATTAAACGATATAATGCATCTTGATATTGTATTCAATCTATAAGATTCAAGGACTAAACTATTACATATATTTTAAAATCGGGAGTAATTAAAGAGTACTATACTATCATAGTCCTAACCCTGGCGAGTGCTTTTATTGCACAGTTAAAAATTTCCGAATGTTATTTTGTGGTCTTCATTAACTGTAAGGAAAACAAATTAACGGAATGAGCTAAAGCCAGTGAGGTCCTATAAAAACATTAATATAACAAACAAGCTCCTCAATAAGACAATCACATATAAAGAATACAGCGAGTGCAAAAGAAATCCACTCCGAGTCAATATGACTGGAGAAATTAGAATGGATTTCTGGTTACATTCGGAACACTGATCTCGGGTTCACTTGTCGATCATTTGTGTATTTCGACAACCATGACCAAACACTAATTTTGGTACCAATCACTTTGGTAAATCTACAGTTTACCATTCACTATCTTCAAGTTCCTTTACCCAACGATCAAGTTCAATGCCGACCCGTCGGGTTTGATTCACTAAAAGGTTTGTGGATCCACTTCACCTCAGTTTAACACGCACATTCAATGGAGTCATTTACACAAATAACTCAATATATTCAATTTAACACTTTCAGGGGTGATAAAGTACACCCCTGGTACACATAAATCATATTAAATTAACACAGTATTAACATTTTAATGAGAACACTCACCTTGATGATGGGCCACTAATCACATCTTTCATCAAAGATTCGATTGATTTTCTAAATTTTGATGATACAAATGATCTTCTCCCGTGGGTTTTTTTTTTTTTTTCTATATTGGTTCTGTAGCTTTTGGGATGGGTTTATTTAATTACTTGCCTAGTACTTCATTTGAGAAAAATATTGCTATTTCTATTGGTTCTCCATCTCCTTCATTTATTTGCTTCCCTCTCTCTTCGACTCTGACTCCTCTCTCTCGACTCTCGGCTTTCACCCTCACCTTTTTTTTTTATTCGTCTTGCTAAACTCAACATCCAAGTCACTTATTTATACAACCTCCGTCCCAAAAAAATAGTCCACATTGAGTTTTGAGATTTGTACTAGTTTTAGTATAAATTTGAAAACTCAATGTGGACTATTTTTGTAGGACGGAGGGAGTAGTGATTATGGTGAGGAGAAATAGATGTACGTAGGGATTATAGGGGGAAAGGGGTACTGGGTAGGGGGAAAACTTTACTGATGAGGTGGTTTAGTTAGTAATTATCCACTCCATTTTTTTTTCCCTTTTAGTTTATAAATTTGGATATACACTAAAGTTTCACATTTTTATAACTGCGCCTGCCATGTTTTGTAATTTTGATTCATGCCCTTATCAATTTTAGACCTTTTCAAATCTAACATTAATTTTATATAAATTTCATAATCTCTAACTTTTAAACTATTCATAACTCTTTATTAATAGTGCTTAATTATATATCTAAAAATTCTAGTAACTACTTCTATTTTTGTAGTGGCCTGCAAATTTGGGGCCTCACAAAGTTGGAGAGGCAAGAGATAGAAACCATTTTTCGAGATTCGATTAGGGCACCGAAAAAGAAAAATGTGAGGGTATTGTCTTGGATACCACCCAATTCTGGAGAAGTTATTTTAAATGCAGATGGATCAGCAATAGGAGCTCCAGGAGACGTTGGATGGGGCTATGTGGTGAGGAGAGAACATTGGAGATTTATCAAAGCAGCATGTCAGCACATTGGAGAAAGCTATAGCATCAGTGCTGAGATAGAATGAATTCTTCAGGGGTTACATTGGTGCGAGTCGCAAGGTTTTGATAAAGTTCAAGTCCAAACAGACAATAAGGTGGGCACTCAATTGTTTCATAATGGTAAAGTATTTCCTTGGCAGGATCATAGTTCTTTAAGTCAAATTAAGCTATTTTGGAAAGAATTATATTCCAAATTGATGATATTTTTAGAGAAATAAATTGTTTAGTAGATGGTCTATCTAAATTGGCATCCAGAGGACATTCCACAGAATATGATAGACTTTCTGATTACCAAGGTCTTTGAGAGGAATTCTATATTTAAGTCAGATAACTTCCCTTATCTGCACATTAGATAATTACTATCTCCATTTTTTTATCTATGGTTTTAGGGTGAACCCAAAGTGTTTTTTTATCTGTCGCACTTCATTTCCAATGTAACATTAAATACAACTTTTTCAATCTTACCCTTATCTCTCTCTACTTTTAATAACATATATTAATGACAACTACCTACTCTTTTACTTCAATTTCAAATTTTTTAGAGTTCCAATACTTTTAGTTAGGGGCAAGAAAGACAATACCCTTATAAATTAAATTCTCAATCATTGTTTTCTTTATAGTTGTTCAAACTCTAGAGCGACAGATAAAAAAAAACGGAGGTAGTAGTTTAGAATTTATAGATGTAGATAATTGATCTGTCAGAGTTTTTATAAAACTCTTTGTGAGACAATTCATAGTTTTGAGATGTTTTTGTGCTTTCAAAAAAGAACTATAATGGAATTCTAGTGAATTTCTTTAAGACAGTCTCTTAGTGCTAGCTGTTAGAACCGTCTTGGAGTTTGTAGAAAAACTTTTGTAAGAAGGTCTCTTTTGTTTTGGGTAAGTCTTAAACACTGCCCTTTATAATTTTTTTCTTTTAAATTAATAAAACCAGGATTCTCCCGCCAGGTATTGCCCTGGATTTCCCTAAAAAAAGTCATTTTTTGGGTAGGTTTTTATTTAATATATTTTTACATCAATGGATGTACTATAGGTTTAGAACATAATTTAATTATAATTTTGACAAATGACCCTGACAGGTTCATCTTTTAGTCGGTTAGGGTGTTAATATAATGCTAAAAAAGAAAAGTAATAATTAACTACATAAAATGAGACAAATCTTGTATGTTAGTTTACGAAGAGTTATAAGATTGAAGTGTAAAAGATCGTTAGCCAAAACATCATTTAAGTAAAATTTTCACACAGGGCCTTGACAGGTTGATTCAATAGTTGGTTAGAGTGTTAGTTATAATTTTAAAAAGGAAAATAATTATTCAATAAAAAAATACAGGTTTCATTTTGCTTAAGAATTTTCATTTGTAAGTGCAGGGTCATTTACATAACTGGTGCCTTGAAGGGTTCATCCAATGGTAGGCTAGGGTATGATTAAAAATTAAAAAAAAAGAAAAAAAAAATTATTAAATAAACAAATCTGGCAAAATTTATTTTGTGATTACAATCAAGAGAACACAAAAGTCCGAAAAAGTGTCGTTTCTTCTCTCTCCACTGTGGGCGAAAATACCACCGACTGTGTGAGATTTTTTCTCTCTGAATCTCGGCACGCTACTAACGAGCCCATGATGGTGGGGACGCAGAAGAAAAGAGGGAAAGTGACGGCGATGGAAGTAAATCAATTGGAGGAAGAAATCAAAACCCCTATAGTCAGCGATGAGAAAGCTTCAGATCAGGTAACGCGCACAACTTTGAATCCGATTTCAATCGATGAAGGTGCTAAGGGTTTAGAACTGTTGTGTAATCAAAAGGTAGTACAAATTGGGGAATCTTTGAGTCTTGCTGAGTCTAGGAACAATGAAATCAAAGATGCTAGGGTTAATGGGGTATGGAGTAATTTTGATCCAAAGAAGATGACTGCAATAAACCGTAAATTGGAATTTATTGAGTATGTAGTTATAAATGATAAATTGATTGCAAAAGTGCAAAGAGATGAGTTCTAAGAAGTGATAGATTACTGGCATCATTCATTAATCTGTTACATTCAGGGAGCAAACCCCCCTTTCTATGTTGTTAATGGTTATCTTCAAAGTATTTGGGGGTAATTATGGGGCTGATAAAGTTTTGTTAAAGGAGAATTGGATTTATATTGTTAGATTTACTTCTATAACAGCCAAGGAAATTTTGAGGCTGAAGTTTTCCACTTCGACCATAGACCCCTTATTGTCAATGATTGATCAGTTGAAAAGTGTTTTAGCATGGATGAGGTTAAGAAAGTTCCAATTTGGGTTCAGCTGCCTAAACTGAAGTTGCAGTACTGGAATAAAAAGACCTTAAGCAGAATTACAAGTTTAATAGGAACCCCTATTGAGATGGATGAAATGCTAAGGAATAGAGCAGGGTATACAAGAGTGATAGTAGAAGTGACCATTTCTCATACTTTGGCCACTGAAATTTGGTTTGAAGATGAATTTGGAATTATTCAAGTACAAAAGGTGAGATGTGAATGGTTACCTGTAAAATGTCAACAATGCAAAGGGTTTGGCCATGAAATGGCACATTGCAGGAAAATAGTCATCAAAGTCTGGAAACCAGCTGAAAGGAAGCAGGCTCCACCAGAAATGGTTGGGCAAGAGCACCAGAAGGATCAGCTGTTGGACATCAGAACCAGGGCGCCCTTATGGATACTGGGAATGGCAGTTCATCAGAAGGGGGACTGAAGAAAGCAAGAGCAGGGAAGCAAATTCAATCAAGCAGTGTGACACAGAATCTAGAACCCAGAGAAAGTACAAGATCAAAGGTCCTAGCCACTTTAATTACTATGGAACTATCATGAGTAATCTTCTCAGCTGGAATATAAGGGAAACACAGAGAGATGGGAAACTGATCTCTGTTAATAATGTGGGTATTGCAGGCCTGTTGGAAACAAAAATGCAGGGAGATAAAGTGGATGAACTGATGAGAGAGAAATGGAAGACTATGATTATGTGCGAAATCATAGTAGTACTATCAAAGGCATTATTCTGCTTATATGAAAAGAGGAGAATATAGACTCAGCTATATACAGAAAGAAGATCAATGGATACACTATAGTGTACAAGATGCCAGTAACAAATTGTTTGATCTGACTATAGTTTATGCACATCATCAGGCTCAGGGGAGAACAACTTTATGGAATGATCCGCTAGCCAATCGACCTTCCAATAGAGCATGGATCATGATAGGTGAATTCAATTGTATTTTATATCCAGAGAAGAAACTTGGAGGAACTACTAGCCTCAACTCAGACACTGGAATGTTTAAACTAATGATTGAGAAGCATGAGTTAATAGAGATGAAGGCATAAGGCAATAAATTTACCCGGAACAACAAGCAAGTTGGGGAAGGAAGAATCACATCAAAGCTTGACAGGGCATTCGTCAATGAAGCTTGACTGAATGACTTTCCAGAAGATGTAACATGGGTAAAACAAGCTGGAATCTCAGATTATTGTCCTTTGCTGGTAAAATGGGGGCATCTTCAAGGCACCATTACCAAAGTTTTCAGGTTCTACATCATGTGGACACATCATTAGGATTATCAAGCCACAGTTAGGGCAAACAGGCAGACAGCAGAGGCGGGCACCAAACAATTCTTGTTAGGTCAGAAGCAAAGATCCTTGAAGCCAAGTCTAAAACATCTTAACAGGCATAAATTCAATGAAATTGAGAGGAAGGAGCATCATGTGAAGCTGGAATTGGAAACAGTTCAAGCTAAGCTGTAAGATGAGCCAGAGAATGTTAATCTAAAGAAATGGAGAAAGTGCTGACTAGAGAATACATCGAGGCTGCCAAAATAGTTACAGCCTACTAGAAGCAACACTTGGAAAAGAAGTGGATCCAGGAGGGAGACAACAACTCCAGGCTGTTCTATAACTGCATCAAGCAAAGGCGATTGCAGAACAAGATACTCTCCTTCACTGATCAGAATGGCAACTTGGTTGATGACTGGAATCAGGTACAACAACATTTTATAGAATATTATGAGAATTTGTTAGGTACGAAAAAATCTAGGGTTTTGGCTGATTGTGAAGCATTTAATTTAGGCATTAAACTGTCTGTATAGAAGCATTTTCTCCTGATTAAATGCTTCTAAACAGCAGAAATCAAGGATGCAATGTTTAGTATAGATCCTAACAAGTATGTTGGCCCAGATGGGTATAGTAGCGAGTTTTATAGGTCTTCTTGGGAAACAGTGGGTAAGGATGTATATAGTGCAGTAATGGAATTCTTTCAAACTGGGAAACTGTTGAAATAGTTAAATGCCACGTCAATTTGTCTAATTCCAAAAACCATAACCCCTAGAGATACTACTGAGTGCTGTCCCATAGCATGCTGTAATACTGTGTATAAGGTCATAACAAAGTTGCTTAGTAAGAGGTTAGGTCAAGTTCTGCTAGATTTAGTTGACCTAAACTAGGGAGCCTTCATAAAGGGTAGATCTATTCTCCACAATGTGTTATTAACGCATGAATTATTTAGGCTTTACAGAAGGAAAAATGTCAAGCCCTGCTATCTTATGAAAGTGGACCTGAACAAAGCCTTTGATTCTGTCCATTGGGGGTTTTTTGATGAGATGTTGCAGAATTTAGGATTCCCACCAAAATTTAGATCTTGGGTCTTGGAATGTGTTACCACAGCCAGCTTTACGCTGAATCTGAATGGTCAGAATACGGGGTTCTTCCATGGGAAAAGGGGTCTTCATCAAGGTGATCCTATGTAACCATTACTTTTTAGGATGGTGATGGAATACCTTACACGATTATTTCGGAAAGAGATCAAGAAAGGATGTTTCCGTTTCCAACCCTTATTGTGAGAAACTGGAAATAGTAAGTTTCAGCTTTGTTGATGACTTGATTATCATCAGTCAGGCTGGCATTCAAACAATATCAAGGATCATAACAGTGCTACAACAAATTGAAGCTACCACTGGTCTTATAGTGAATATCCAAAAATCGAATGTTTATTTTGGCGGGGTAAAAGATGATCTTCAACAGCAGTTCCTTTCCAATACGCTATCTTGGTGTTCCTATCTCTTCCTCTGCTTGGACACAGGATGATTGCTAGGATGTGATAGAAAAGATAACCAACAAGCTGCAATGTTGGTCCACAAGTCACCTCTCCTATGCTGGGAGACTAGTCTTGGTAAACTCTTTGTGGGATCGACCCGACTTATCCTATCTACAGTTTAAGTTGGTAATTTATTTTGAGGGCTTCGACAACCCACCACAAAGTCAAATACATTTTCCCTTCAGAACTTTCGATCGCATAGTTTAACAAATTTCAACACTAATAAAATTCAAAGTAATCCCCGAATCTGATAGTTGGACCAGTCAGAACTAAACAAGCTTGGTAGGAAGAGAAAGTAATCAAAACCACCAATTGAGTAGGCCTTACAGATACAAGGTCAACAAATCCAGTATTTAATGATCTACAACAAAATCATTCTATGAAGGAAAAAGTGATAAATACATATAGGAGGCAGGTTTCTCATTAGATAATGCACGGCCGAGCTCTATAATTGTCTTCAAACACATCCGCAAGAGCTTTATGCACAAGTCAGAACTTGGAAATCAATTGTGTCCATAGTGCATTGTGTGGCCCACATTTCTAGTTTTCATGTTCCCAACTTTAGAAGATATGGTTTTAAATCTATACAGCTAATTAACAAAGTTTCAATGGCTTTCACGAGGAGATAGTAGCCATAAAAGTATATCACCAAAAACTTAGTTCAAGAAGCAATGCAACAACACGTGCAAACATGTTTATCGGTTTCCTTTTAAGTTGAATGATGACGAGTGCATTTCGTACTATATTTTTCGGCATTCAATTTACCTCTTTATGCTTAAATTATAGGTTAATTAGGTTAGTTTTATATAGTTATAGGCTAATTTAGTGACTTGTGGTTGTCCAGGGACTGAATTGCAATACGGGCAAAAAATGGGGCAAAAGTGACAAAATGGTGAAGATTCGGGCTGAATTGGAAGTTGCTGTAGGGACTGATCGTTCAAGGGCTGAGAAGAGGAAGAATCCGGTGGGAAGAAGGCCAAATTAGAGCAATCCTTAGAAGCTAAGGAAGGAGAGCCGTTGGTGAAGTGATGCTACTGACATTGGGAGGAGATTGATGTGCCTTAAAGCTGAAATCTTCATCTAAATCCCTCCTAAAAGCTGATTAGAGGTAAGGGGGAAGTTGAGAAGTATGGGTCTCCTCTCTTTTGCATAAAACCCATCGGGTAAATAGGAGACCAACTTGGCTAAGCAAGACCTCTCCCCAACCTCTATGAAAGGCAGCAGCAGCACGAGGACAAAGGCATCGATGTCTAGAATACAACTTAGAAGTAGATTGTAGTGTAATTTAGTTCGGTAGGAAGAAACAGAGTATAACTCTTGAAGGTAGACTCAGGGGTGTCACTTGGGGAAGTGAAAAACTGACTCTGCAAAGTCAGCTGTATTTAACCACACTTCCCGACTTTACTATTCCCCCGTTTTCTGTCTTTTCTGTTGTAATCAGGATGAAGTCTCAACACCTGAACTTGGTGGTGTTTGAGCTTCACTCCATGAGTAGCTAAACTCCTTGCTATGGTCTAATCCCTCTACTCTATATAATTATGTTTTAATTCATGCTCTCGGATGATATTTGTATGCTTAGCTCTTGAGTTTAAATTATCCTTTTAGCAATAGGCCGTTCAAGCTAATTGTGCATGCATGTGGGGGGAATCCTAGAAAGGTAAACTTCACTTAAAACGTCTAGAATTAACTGGTGACAAGGGGGTAACAGTCCAAGGTTTCAAAGAACAACGGAAGTTAGTTGTTTGGCACGAGCCTATGACTGTTGTTTGGAACAATCGGAAGTGACCTTACTGTGTTTATGTGTCTGATTGAATACAGTTTTATACCACATGGATAGCTAGAAGAATCAATACATATGCATATAGAGTAGAGTGGAGGACGACCCTAGGCTACCATCACTTTGCCAAGTCAGTTACTCACTTGCCAATTTGCTGTTTTTGCTTTTGTCTTGTGTTCTGGTATTAGATCCCAATTTTCATTAAGTGTTTCCCATCTCTGTGGGATCGACTCTTCTTATCACTTACTACATGTTTTAAGTAAGTTTATTTTGGTGTTCTCGACACCCATCAAAAGTGGTGCCGTTGTCGAGGACAGCGTAAAACATCTTTTTGAAAATTACTGTTTATTAATTTTTTGCTCGTTTTTTTTTAGTTAATAGATTAAACCCCAAATTCTCTTTGGTTCAGTTACATGTTTTGTTTGGTTCTTGATTTCTGGTATATGACAAGAAGTAATCCTCCCGAGGTATTCTTCTTTGACCTAGAAATTGAAGCCACTTCCAGGAGAAGCAGGCAACTCAGATGACATTACGCAGCTACTAAAGCTCAGGAGGAGTTTGCTGAAACCATGGAAGCCTTAGCTGAAGAAGAAGTCAGACATAATGGTGGAGCTGAAATTCAGCCAGCTCAACCCCCATTGCTGAGAGATTCTTTCATCCCTCAACAAGAGGAGGTTCAGTTACCATTAGTATTCCCAGATGTGGAAGCTAATAAGTTTGAGCTTAAATCAAATATGATTCAATGGGTTTAAGCAGCTTGTCCATTTCATGGTCTGCCATCAGAAGATCCTAATGACCATCTATGGACCTTTCTCAGGGTCTGTAGTACTTTCAAGATCCAAGGACTATCTCAGGATGACATCAACTGAGATTGTTCCCATTCACACTTCAAGATTTAGCTCAGACGTGGTTGAACTCTTTGACGAATAACTCCATCACAAGCTGGCAGGAATTAAGGCAAGCATTTCCTACTAAGTTCTTTCTGATAATGGTTTATTTGTTACAAAAAAGCATCACAATTAACTCTGAATTTAGTAAGAAATTAGGGGTATTTCTTAATATTAGTGCATTTCACATAACTACTTTTTTGTATTTTCTATTAGGATAGGACTTGATTGAACACTTGCTGAAAATTGGGGCCAAAGGAACAAATTGTGGGCTACTGATACAATTTTTGCTGAGCTGGTCGAAAAAAAAACACTCCCAAGACACAAAGCATCTTGCCATTAATCAGTGTGTCTCTCATTTGAATTCCAAGGGGAATGCTTGTCTCTTGACTGAAATTCCAACCACCCATGTTGATCAATGAGGTTGCTGCTGCCACTACTGGAAGAAGAGAAGAAGACCAGCCAATTTTGGATTCCAGATACAAAGCCTAGGAAGGATTAAACAATTTACAAGCATGGGGAGGCTCTCTTGATTGAAGAACCGGCTGCAGGGCTCTATAAAAGGGGAGCTGCACTCTCAGAATTGGACATCTCTGGCCACCCTTCCAGTTGCCAAAACACACAAAAAAACTCCAGAAGAAGGCAAGAAGGAAGAAGGAACAATAACAACTCAATAAGGAAGCCAAGTTGAAGAACAACCTACCTAGTCACTGCCTCACCTCTATGAGTGAACTCTTTCACTCTCAGGAGTGGTTCAGAACTACACAAGCTTTTTTCTCGTCTCTTGACTGTTAGCATGAACTTTCTCTTATGATGCATACTTCTATGATGTCTGTTGATGTAGTAGATGTAGCATTAATCTGCATGAGTAGCTAAGTAGCTTCCAGGGGTCAATCTTCTCAAGCTATGTTGTAGTTGTAATGCACCGGTTCTGTTCTTTGTTTTGAAGTTGAAAGTTTTTCTACATTCATTTACTTGATCACTTAATTGAATCCATGTTAGAACTAAGGGAGATCTGGAAAGATAAACTTGGTTGACATGAGCATCCATGTAAGCCTGAGATCTTAATGACTTTATAACTGGAATCAATCATTGGAAAATAGATTTCTAAGCTTACAAAGATGACTCTAGGAAAAATGGGAACTGACTTAGAGTTATAAGTGAGCTGAATGAACAAGAACTTAACCATTACAGTGCTGATTATACAACTACTGCATTAGGAAAAGGAGATGAACACCCCTGGCTTTTATTCTCCTGAGTGGCTGTTTCCATTCCCCTGAGTGACACCTTTTCTTTGGTGTATGACTAGAAGGCACCAACGAAGTGAACCAGTTTTTTTATCCAGAAATTGAAGCTACTATACGCAGAGCCAGAGCAGCAAAAAGAAGGCAGAATCGGTTGCAACAGAACTGCCAAGAAGGTTCTTCAGAAATGGCTAACCAAGGTGGTAACCCGGAGAACAATAGGAACCCTTGTGTGGATTAACAAAATCGACCAGAGAGATTGCTTAGAGATTTCTTTATTCCACAAAAAGAAGAAGTCCAATCCCCTTTGGTGTTCCCTGATGTAGAGGCAACCAATTTTGAGCTAAAACCACAGATGATCCAATGGACTCAATCAGCCTACCCGTTCCATGGATTACCTCATGAAGATCCTAATGATCATATCCGAAGTTTCCTGTGTTTATACAGTACTTTTAAAATTCAAGGCTTATCTAATAATGACATTAGACTGAGGTTGTTCCCTTTTACTTTGCAGGATCACGCCCAAGCATGGTTCAATACATTACCCAACAATTCTATCTCCACTTGGGAAGAATTAAGACAATGCTTCCTAACAAAATTCTTCCCACCTGCAAAAGCTGCACAACTCAGAACAACAATAATGAATTTCAAGCAGCATGGAACTGAAACACTCTATGAAGCATGGGAAAGACTGAAGGAAATGATCAGGAAATGCCCTCAGCATGGTTTGGAAGAGCATCTCCAACTGAGCATCTTCTACAATGGGCTGCTACTAACTACAAGAGACTCCCTTGATGCTACAGTTGGTGGTGTGTTTATGATGAAGCCAGTTGATGCAACAAGGCAGTTGCTTGACAATATGACCACCAACCACTCAAGGTGGCAATCTGATCCAAGGGCAAGTGCAAAACAACCAGGAGTGATGGAACTTGACCCCAGTACACACTTGCAAGCACAAATGGCTATTATGATGAATGAAATGATAAAACTCAGGAGTGAGCTGTCCAAATCCAAGGCTGAAGTGTGTGTGTTGTGTGATGGATCTCACAATTTGGATGATTGTCCCTCCAAAATGGAAGATGTCCAGTTTGTCAGGCAGGGCAATGCCGGAGGATTCAACAACTTCAACAATTGGAGAAATCAGCAGCAGCCTAATTGGAACAATGCACCACAAGAAGGGAGCTATCAGAGGCCTACTCAACCCCCAGGATTTCACAGACAAGATGGCCAACCTCCCAATTATCAGAATCAGCAACGTTCTAACCAGCAATACATACCAAGGGAAGATGAATGGATTTCTGTGCAAAATGCAATCAAGAATTTGGCGGTGTCTTGCAAAAGTTTGGAAAATCAGTTGGCTCAGATTGCAAAACAAAATGCTGAAAGACCATCTGGAAGCCTGCCCAGTGATACAGTTGTAAACCCCAAGGGGAACGACCAAGAGCAAGCAAAGGCTATCACTCTCAGAAAAAAAGTGGAAAAAAACTCAACAGCCAAGTGAAAAAGTCATTCCCGTGAGTGACCCTGCAGGTAAGAATGAAACATTTTCTGAGAAAATATCTGATAATGACGATTTGGTTGAACAGGAGCAAGCAACTGAAAAACCTAGAATGGAGCAAATTCAATTCCCAGCACCAATTAAGGAACCACAACAGCCAGCTCCAATCTCACCATATCCGGTAAGACAAAAGAAGGCCAAAATGGATGAAGGGCTCAATAGGTTTATTCAAAACTTTGAAAATGTACCACTTGTTGATGCACTTAAACAAATGCCTAAATACTTCAAGTACTTGAAAGATTTGGTGACCAATAAACCACAAGTACACGACTCTGCTTTTGTCACTCTAAATGAAGAATGTAGTGCAGCTATTCTGAGAAAATTGCCACCTGAGCTAAAAGATCAGGGTAGTTTCACTCTGCCTTGTACGGTAGGAATCAGAGAATTCTCAAAAGCATTACTAGATCTTGGTGCAAGCATAAATCTCATGCCACTGTCTGTATTTAAATCACTTGATCTGGACAAATTTTTGGTACCTACTAACATGACATTGCAGTTGGCAGATAGGTCACTTACCTACCCAAAGGCAATCTACATGACGTTCTTGTGAAGGTTGGTAATTTCGCTTACCCAGCAGACTTTGTGGTTTTGGACATGGAAGAGGACAAAGATGTGCCCATCATCTTGGGAGACCTTTTCTGGCAACAAGTGATGCAATCATTAAGGTGAAAAAGGGAGAAATCACACTGCACTTTGATGGAGAAAAGGTGACCTTCAATATCTTTAAAAATATGAGATATCCTGCTGAAGCCCATAACTGCTACATGGTAAGAAGTGTAGAAGTAGAAGAAGCAGTGACAGAAGAAATACTGCAAGATGATCTCCTCAAGGAACTCTTATGCCCAGACAGTAATGAGGAACAGGAAGGAGGGGATAAGTACAAGATCACTTGCCTGAGTTACCTAAACCACTCCCCCAAGTGGCATCCTAAACAACAACCCTGACTAAGGAAGGAAGATGCCTCAAACCTTCAATTGAAGAACCACCTCCTCTGGAACTTAATCCTCTGCCTTCACATTTGAAGTACGCCTATATTGGAGCAAGTAACACCTTACATGTGATCATTTCTTCTCTGCTTACAGGTACTGAAGAGGATAAGCTGCTAAGAGTGCTGAGGTTGCACAAGGAAGCCATTGGATGGTCAATTGCAGACATTAAGGGCATCAGTCCTTCCATATGTATGCACAAGATCCTACTTGAAGACGATGCCAAGCCAACCATTGAAGGACAAAGAAGGCTCAACCCAGTCATAAAGGAAGCGGTAAAAAAGGATATTATCAAGCTGCTGGACGCTGGAATCATCTTCCCAATATCTGACAGTAAGTGGGTGAGTCCAGTGCAATGCGTGCCCAAGAAAGGAGGAATCACAGTAATAAAAAATGATCTCCAGGAGCTGATTCCTACAAGGCTGAACAACTCATGGAGAGTGTGCATGGACTACAGAAAGCTTAATAAAGCCACAGAAAGGACCACTTCCCCCTTCCCTTTATTGATCAAATGCAAGATAGATTGGCTGGATTCATGTATTACTGTTTCCTTGATGGTTTCTCAGGTTACAACCAGATTGCCATAGATCCCGATGATCAAGAAAAGACGACGTTCACCTGCCCCTATGGCACATTTGCCTTTAAGAGAATGCCATTTGGACTGTGCAATGCACCTGCAACATTTCAAAGATGTATGATGCCCATTTTCTCTGATATGGTGAAGGAAATAATTGAGATCTTTATGGACGACTTCTCGGTTTTTGGTAAGTCGTTTGATGCATGCCTGGACAACCTTGGACTGATCTTGAAGAGATGCATAGAAGCCAACTTAGTCCTCAACTGGGAGAAGTGCCATTTTATGGTAACTGAGGGGATTGTCTTGGGACATAAGATCTCACAGGAAGGAATCGAAGTGGACAAGGCAAAGATTGAAGTCATAGAGAGGCTCAGCCCACCAACCACAGTCAAGGAGTAAGGAGTTTCCTAGGCCATGCCGGCTTTTACAGGAGGTTCATTAAAGATTTCTCAAAAATTTCTAAACCATTATGCAACTTGCTTGAAAAAGACACTGCTTTTATTTTTGATGAATCCTGTTTAAATGCATTTACTGAACTGAAAAAGAAACTCATCTCTGCACTTGTAATCATCACACCTGATTGGTCACAGCTTTTTGAACTAATGTGTGATGCTAGTGATTTTGCAGTAGGTGTTTTACTTGGACAGAGAAGGAACAAGGGGTTACATGTGGTTTACTATGCTAGTAAAACCCTCAACCCTGCACAAATCAACTACACCACTACAGAGAAGGAAATGCTGGCAATTGTGTTTGCATTTGATAAATTTAGGCTTATTTGCTAGGAATGAAAGTCATAGTCTACATAGACCATGCTTCCATCAGGTACTTGATCAATAAAAAAGAGTCTAAGCCTAGGTTGATTCGATGGGTGTTGTTGTTACAGGAATTCGATTTGGAGATAAGAGACAGAAAGGGTGCTGAGAATCAGGTAGCAGACCATCTGTCAAGACTTGAAGAGATTCTAGAAGACACAACTCTAATTTTAGAAAAATTCCCTGATGAGTCACCCTGGCGAGTGACAGGCACACTCATGGGAGTGACATGTAACATGCCTTGGTTTGTAGATTTTGCTAACTTTGTTGCTGCTGGTATTATTCCTCCAGATCTCACCCCTCAACAGTGCAAACGGTTCCTCCATGATGCTCAACTCTACCTATTCAAAAGATGTGTAGACCAGTTGATCAGAAGGTGTATTCTAGAACCTGAGTTCACAGAAGTGTTGCACAAATGCCACAGTTCTCCCTATGGTGGACATTTCAACGGTCAAAGAACGGCAATCAAGGTTCTACAAGCTGGACTGTATTGACCATCTCTGTTCAGAGATGCACATGAATTTGTCAAAAGCTGTGACAGATGCCAAAGGACAGGAAACATTTCCTGGAAGAATGAGATGCCACAGCAGAACATTCTTGAAGTAGAACTGTTTTGATGTATGGGGGATAGATTTCACGGGTCCTTTTGTGTCATCCTTTGGGAACACCTACATCCTACTGGCTGTAGACTACGTTTCAAGATGGATAGAAGCCGTAGCTGCAAAAAATAGTGATGCTAAGACTGTTCTCAGGTTTTTAAAGAAAAACATTTTTTCCAGGTTTGGTACACCCAGGATGATACTCAGTGATGAAGGATCACACTTTTGTAACAAGTCATTTGCAGCCATGGTGAAGAAATATGGGATCAGGCATAGAGTATCAACACCATACCACCCACAATCAAACGGGCTAGCAGAAGTGTCAAACAGGGAAGTGAAAAGAATCCTGGAAAAGGTTGTTAACTCTACCAGAAAGAATTGGTCCTCAAAGTTGGATGAAGCTTTATGGGCATACAGAAAGGCAAAACCCCCATTGGTATGTCCCCGTTCAAATTGGTCTATGGGAAAGCATGCCACTTGCCGGTGGAGTTGGAGCATAAGGCTTACTGGGCAATCAAGGAGTTGAATCTTGATCCAGGAAAAAGCAAGGAACTAAGGCTGATGCAATTGAATGAGCTGGAAGAATTCATACTGGAGGCATACGAATCATCCAGAGTTTATAAAGAGAGAACTAAGGCTTACCATGATCAACACATTGTGAAGAAGGACTTGCAACAAGGACAAGAAGTCTTGTTGTTCAATTCTAGGCTGAAATTCTTTCCAGGGAACTTGAGGTCAAGATGGACCAGCCCCTACAAAATCAACAAGGTTCTAAATCAAGGAGCAGTGGAGATCATGAATCCACAGAATGGCAACACCTTTTTGGTTAATGGTCAGAGGCTTAAACCCTACCTTGGATGGACAGAAGGGAGTAAAGGACAGAACTATCGTGTTCTGGTCCTGAAGGAACTTAACTGAAAACTCTTTTGAAGTCCGGCATGGGACTTTAAACCAATGCGCTTTATGGGAGGCAACCCATCTTTTTTGATTTGGCTTGACTAACTTTTGTGATTATGGCGTTAATTTTGCAGGAACAGAAAGGAATTTCTCATCCCAACTTGATTTCAGAAAGTGCAGAAATGTCAGACACTCAGGTAACTCACTCAGGAGAATGAAAAAAAGGTCACTCAGCTGAGTGAGCCAAGCTTAAGTTACCAATGTAAGTCATTTAAACCCTGACGTCACTCACACAAGTGCGACAACTCACTCGCCTGAATAGGTACAATTGTATAACACCTTCTGCTCTATTCTTTTGGACTTAAAATTTGGAATTTAAGTTTGGGGGGGGGGGGAATTCCCCGAAAGTTTTCAAATTTTTAAAAAAATCCAGCCGATTCTGTTTAATTGCCCTTAGTTAGCCACAACTCGTCCTCTTAATTATGGTAGCATAGAACTCTTCCTCTTCCTTTTCTTCTCTTCCTATGTTTAATTATGGTAGCATAGAACTCTTCCTCTTCCTTTTCTTCTCCTTCCTCATCAAAACTCCTTGGCCTTTTCAAATACCACTTCCCTATGTGAATGTACTGACAATTTCTCTGAGTTTTCAGGCAACTAAGACAAAATTCAGATCCAATCAAAAAACCCCTCTTTCAATTTGCAAATTCAATTTCTAGGGTTTGTACAAAATGCCGCCGGCCAGAAGAAAAGTTGCTGCCCGCAAAAGAGCTTCAAGCACCAGAGTCATAAGCTCCTCTGAAAGCTCATCGGAAAGGCAAAGAGTGCCTACCCCACCACCATCCCCTGTCAGAGAACCTACTCCACCGCGGTCTCCTCAGCCACCAAGGGCTCTGCAAGAACAAGCCCTTGACGCTCTCACAGACGAGTTGGAGCCAAGATTGTTTCCAAGGAAGAAGGGCTGGGATTTCTTTTTGAAGCACATACGGCGGAAAATCATTGCCGAAAGGGGAATCGGTGAAGACTGTGCAACTTTCGCCTATATCAAGCGCCATGGCTGGGAGACCTTCTCCAAACCACTTGTCAAGCCCAGGATTTAGATTGTGCAAGAATTCTATGGCAACTTCAACACTGCCCACAGAGGCAGTGCATTTGTTAGAGCTATCAGCGTCAATTGCAGCACAGAAGCTATTAGGGCCATCTGGAAACTACCAAGAGTCAGCACCGATTACAGGGATGCCATCGCTGCCCTGCATCCGAATCAACCACTGGAACAAGCCGTTCTGTCTAGATTGGCAAAAGAAGGCACAAGCTGGGAGATGGATGATCAAGAAAACCCTCAGGGATTCCCAGCAAATGCATTACAGGCGCCTGATCTGAATTTGTGGCACTATTTCATCTGCTGCAATTTGATGCCAACATCCTACACTGCTAAGGTCACCTATGAGATGGCTATGCCATTGTCACAGACACACCATTTGATGCAGCCTCAGTCATCAGAGATCAACTAACCAGATGCATCACTGACCCAAAGGTGAAGAGCTGGTATTTTCCAGTTATGATCACAATGCTTTGCAGAAGAGCAGGGGTCGCATTTTTGAGCACAGACAATGAAAGCAGCCTCCAACAACCCTTGAAGCTAGCTAAATTGGACCAGAGACCCCCAGGTGCATCGTCCTCAGGACAAGCAGCATCCACTCCCACTTCGGCTGGACAGTTGAGGCAGAGAGATTTCAACAAGTAGACCAAAGTTCATCCTGGATTATGTCCACCAGTGCCAGATGAGGACTGAGCGATTCCTACAGGAAATGCACAAGTGCATTGGATGCCCTAAAAATTTCCCATTGCCGCATGATCCACCAGCCCATCCACTCCATGGCATGCCTCCATGAACACTCAGGGAAGTGTTGTTCTAATGCCCCTAATCAACAATTTACTTTTTGTGTAAAATGATGAACTCTTTTAATTTTTGTGGTTTTTATTTGTTTTCTGTTTGATGTGTTTTGCCGTGTTTGTTTTGTTAAGCATTGAGGGCAATGCTTAGAATTAGTTTGGGGGAATAGTAGAATAGTATTAGTATTGTTGTCAGGTTTTTAAATTCAGGCCCCTTAGGTTCATGTCTAGATGGAGTCAGTAAATTTTTTGGAATAAAATGAAAACTTATAAAAAAAGGAGCTGTCAAAAGTCTAGGAGGATAATGGCTTTAAAAAAATTTTGCTAAAACACTTTTGATGCTGAGTCTGATGCATGAAGTGAAAATGGCTGACACTCACTCACACACATGAACAATGCCACTCGTGGAAGTGACTGCCTAGAACATAAATTCTAAAATTTGGCATGACTAATCCACTGTTGTGATCTGTGTCTAGTTCTGAGCTACAAGTAGATGAGAAATGCTGTAAACCTGAGACTCCCTTTGTCGTATCCAGTCACAGCTTGTTTTTCTGAAAAAAAAAAAAAAAGAGAAATTAGGAAGTGGATCAACTGAAACCTTAGGGGTAACAGCAAGGAACCACCACAAAAAGTTCCAAACTGTGGAGTAATAAGGGTTGAGGTATAAGGCAATGGAGAGATAAGGTTGAATAACACCCCTCCCAAAGGTGTAAGGTTGGTCCATTTACATTCAAAAAAAAAAAAAACAGACAGAAAGGCTGTGAAGGAAGTCCATGACTGAAGCCTCAATAGGTAAATCAAGTCAAAGTAACTTGGGCAAAACCAGATCACAATATGACCACCACACGCTGAAACCGGTTAACTTAGAATGGATTGATAGGTTGGGCATAACTGACACTTGTGGCATGTGTTCTAATTTCATGTGAAGGTTGGCTGTTTGACTCTGGATTGCAGAAAGATTTGATGTCTGTAAGTGTAAGTTTTCTTTACTTGAATCTGAGACAAAAGGTTGACAGCCCCTATCCAGTTTGTGTTTGTATTGTTGTTTTTATGTTCAGTGTCACATGCCTGAGTGAGAATCCTCACTCAGGGGAGCAAGTCAGTCTTTAGTCATTTTGACAATGTTGTTTTCCCTGTTTCTTATGTATAATTCTGAAGTGCCAGCAAGAGTTTAGTTCTTTTTTGCTTGAGAATAAGCAACTCTTCAAGTTTGGGGGAGTTGATAATGGTTTATTTGTTACATAAAAGCATCACAATTAACTCTGAATTTAGTAAGAAATTAGGGGTATTTCTCAATAATAGTGCATTTCACTTAACTAGTTTTTTGTGTTTTCTATTAGGATAGGACTTGATTGAACACTTGCTGAAAATTGGGGCCAAAGGAACAAATTGTGGGCTGCTGATACAATTTTTTCTGAGCTGGTCGAAAAAAAAGCACTCCCAAAACACAAAGCATCTTGCCATTAATGAGTCTGTCTCTCATTTGAATTCCAAGGGGCATGCTTGTCTCTTGGCCGAAATTCCAACCACCCATGCTGATCAATGAGGTTGTTGCTGCCACTATTGGAAGAAGAGAAGAAGACCAGTCAATTTTGGATTCCAGACACAAAGCCTAGGAAGGATTAAACAATTCACAAGCATGGGGAGGCTCTCTTGATTGAAGAATCGGCTGCAGGGCTCTATAAAAGGGGAGCTGCACTCTCAGAATTGGACATCTCTGGCCACCCTTCCAGTTGCCAAAACACACCGAAAAAAACTCCAGAAGAAGGCAAGAAGGAAGAAGGAACAGCAACAACTCAATAAGGAAACCAAGTTGAAGAACAGCCTACCCAGTCACTGCCTCACCTCCATGGGTGAACTCTTTCACTCTCAGGAGTGGTTCAGAACTGCACAAGCTTTTTTCTTGTCTCTTGACTGTTAGCTTGAACTTCGTTTTATGATGCATACTTCTATGATGTCTGTTGATGTAGTAGATGTAGCATTAATCTGCATGAGTAGCTAAGTAGCTTCCAGGAGTCAATCTCCTCAACCTTTGTTGTAGTTGTTGTAATGCTCCGGTTCTGTTCTTTGTTTTGAAGTTGAAAGTTTTTCTACATTCATTTACTTGATCACTAAATTCAAACGGTTCTGTTCTTTGTTTTGAAGTTGAAAGTTTTTCTACATTCATTTACTTGATCACTAAATTCAATGCATGTTAGAACTAAGGGAGACCTGGAAAGATAAACTTAGTTTGGATTGTTTCAACTTCAACTTATGACATAGAGGTAACAGTCTATGGTTTAACTAAGATAGGAATATACTTAGTTGACATGAGCATCCATGTAAGCCTGAGATCTTAATGACTTTATAATTGGAATCAATCATTGGAAAATAAATTGCTAAGGTCGCAAAGATGACTCTAGGAAATATGGGAACTGACTTAGAGTTATAAGTGAGCTGAATGAACAAGAACTTAACCATTACAGTGTTGATTATACAACTACTGCATTAGGAAGAGGAGATAAATACCCCTGGCTTTTATTCCCTTGAGTGACTGTTTCCATTCCCTTGAGTGACACCTTGTCTAAACTGGTAGTCTTTTAACAACAAATTTGGTAATTAGCTGTCCTCGTGGGATCGACCTAGCTTCCATTATCTACAAAAATCACAATCTAAGCTAGTAATATTTTTGGTGAACTCGGCACGCACCACTTTCCACCACCTAAGGCAACACTTTTAGAACTGCAATCATGACGTTCCTGCAACGTCTTGATGAAACATTATATGATTCTTGGGAAAGATTCAAGGAGCTGCTGAGGAAATGTCCACAGCATGGAATTGAGGAATATATGAGGTTAGACATTTTCTACAATGGTCTAACCCAGTCCTCCAGAGATTCTCTCGATTCCTCTGCTGATGGAGCATTCATTAAGAAGAATGTGGAAGACGCAACCCAGCTGTTGGAGAATATGGCAACCAACCACTACAGATGGCAATTAGATCCCAGAGCTTTGCCCAAGAAGGTTGGCGTATTTGAAGTTGATACATCTACACCTATGCAAGCCCAACTCTCCCAGCTCTTAAATCAGATGGCCAAAGTTGAAGCTCGCATTGCCAAGTCACAAATTGACTTGTACGAGTCATGCTTTGGTCTACATAACATTGATAACTATTATGAGTTGATGGACTCAGCTCAATTTGTTCGCAAGAACAACGCGGGTGGTTTCAATCCGTACAACAACTGGAGAGGACAGCAAGGCAACTGGAACAACAATCAGCAACAACGCAGCTACCAAAGGCCTGACAAACTACCTGGTTTTCAAAAACCAGAATGAAGCTTAAAAGAAAGTGATATGGTGGAGCTTAAGACTATGATTAAGTATTTGCGAGCTAGGCAACGTCAACTGGAGGCAAGGTTGAGTCATAATGAGAAGCTATGTGCAGAATGTTTGGCAGGAAGTTTGCCAAGTGATACTGTGGAAAACCCAAGGCCAGCTCAGCAAGAACAGGCCAACGTTGTATCACTTCGCAGCGGGAAGAAACTCACTCCCATAAGTGAGATGCTCACCCCAGCACCTGCAGCTGTACCTGAGGAAGCTGAAGATGTTATTGACCTTACTATGGAGAAAGAAGATGCAGTGGATCCAAAGGGGCATTGCACAACATAACCAGACTTGACAGGGGAGGCTCAATCTCCATCTCCCCAGATCAGCCTGAGATACCAATACCCCCGTATCCACTCAAACAAGTTAGGAAGAAGACTTCAGAAACAGCTATCAATATTTTCATGAGCAATCTGGAGAGCTTATACATCAACATTCCATTGATCGATGTTCTGAAGCAAATGCCAAAGTATTTCAAGCACTTGAAGGAGTTAGTCTCAAACAAGCCAAGGATTCATGATTCATCATTCATAACTTTCAATGAGGAGTGTAGTGCAGCCATTCTAAAGAAGCTGCCAGCAAAGCTCAAAGATCCAGGGAGTTTCACAATTCCCTGCACTGTCAGACATACAGATGAGGACTCAACCATGACATGGCTAAGTTACGTAGATCACGGTCCATAGTGGCCACATAGAAGTCAACTAGCAGAGCTGTTGGATCTAGCCAAGGAAGGAAAAACTTACAAACCTTCTTTGGAAGAACCACCAACTCTGGAGTTGAAGCCACTGCCTGCACATCTTAACTATGTGTACCTGGGAGATAAAGAGACCTTGCTTGTGATTATCTCAACATCATTAACTGAGACAGAGGAAGTTAAGCTGATGAGAGTTCTGAAGATGCACAAGGAAGCTATTGGTTGGACCATAGCTGATATCATAGGCATCAGCCCATCCATCTACACTCACAAAATCCTGCTCGAAGAGGAAGCAAAGTCAAGTATAGAAGGTCAAAGGAGGTTAAATCTAGCCATGAAAGAAGTAGTGAAGAAGGAGTTCATCAAGTTGTTGGATGCAGGGATCATATGCCCTATATCTGATAGTACTTGGGTGAGCCCAGTTCAGTGTGTTCCAAAAAAAAGTGGGATGATAGTGGTAAAGAATGATTAGGATGAACTCATCCCAACTAGAGTGGTCAATGCTTGGAGAGTTTGCATGGATTACAGGAAGCTCAACAAGGCCACCAGGAAGGATCATTTT